CCTTTCTCCTTTTTTAATGCAGTGACCCAAGCTCTGGAATGGTGCTTCTCACTTTTAGGGTGGGTGCTCCCACCTCAGTGAATCTAATCAGTCTGGTCTCTCACAGGCAGGGCCAGAGGTGACCTGAATCTAGGCTACCCCTCACAGACATGCCCAGAAGCTTGTCTCCCAGGTACATACTCCAACTACCACCACAAGTGCATTTTCTTTTTTAAAAAATGAGATTTATTTCTTTTCATTTTTTTTTATTAAGAAATTTCCTGCTTATGCACCAGGGATGGATCTTGATTCCCCTGCCTGGGTGCCCCCCAAACTGTTTGAGCCAAACACTGTCTTCCATATCTAGAGGGCCCAGTCCAGTCCCATGGGGGCTCGATTGCTACCAGTCCACAGTTCATGGGTTTCCACTAGTGTGGCTGGTCATTTCTGCATGTCCTCCCATCATGATCTCGACATCCCTCACCTGCCCTCTTTCTCATCAATTGGATTCCTGGAGCTCAGCCTGGCGCCTGACCCTGGATCTCCTCATTTGCCTCCATCAGTCACTGGACAAAACCTCTATGATGACAGTTAGGGTATTCACTAGACCAGTCACCAGAGTAGACCAGTCCAGGAACCCTCTGGACCACTGCCTGCAGACCAAGGTGGGGTTAACCTTGTGGATTCCTGCAAGCCTCCCCAGCACCCTTGCTCTTCCTATTCCCATGAATTTTTTGATTAGGACACACAAAGTATTTTCTTTAAACATCTTTCCACATGTGCCGTTCTTCTTGGTTCTCACGGTTGCCCTCCCCCTCTTCCCTCTCCCGGGTCCCTTCTCTGCTGCCAACTGTTTTCCTTCCTCCCCGTAGTTCTTCCCACTTCGGCTTTTCTTTTCCTTTTAAAAATGTGAGTGGTGTTGTTTGTGTGTGTGCATGTACACAAAGGTGTGGGTGTGTATGCACACACGAGGAGGCCAGCGCAAGTTGTCAAGTGTCTTCCTCTCCCACCCTCCACCATATTTCCCTGAGATAGGATCTATCACCTAACCTGAAACTTGCTGACTTGATTTGGTTCAGCTGACTGACCACTGGGCTC